TGGAAGGGCTGTGGCGGGAGGGGCTGAGGGCCTGTGGCTGAGGGCCTGTGGCTGAGGGGCTGTGGCAGGAGGATCTGTGATGGAAGGGCTGTGGCCGGAGGGGCTGTGGCCGGAGGGGCTGTCGCTGGAGGGGCTGTGGCTGGTGCTGGTCTTTAAGGGGCTGATCCTGGTGTGTGCTGTGGGGACTCAGCCCTGCATGTTCAGCTCCAGAGGGAGAAATGGAATAACAAAGCTGAAAAGCTCGCTGATGCAGGGGGTAACACATACAGTTCAGTAATAAAGGAAAGCAGCTGGATTAGGAATTGAGCCAGTTTGTGTTCCCTAAGCCTACCCAGCATTCATTTTTTGAACGGAACAATTCCCCTCTGCAGCACAGAGGAACCAGCGTCTCCCCCCGGGGAGGTTTGCCTCAGGAGGGGTGTGGGCAGGTCAGAGGACACAGTGCACTTTCATGGTAAAATTTGAATAAATATTCTGCGTGGAAACAGGCCCAGTGACTGAGTGTGCTGGCAGGCTAGCCTGGAGACCTGGCTGTGTTTGAAGGACTGTGGTTATAATTACTGTCACCATTACTTGCATCAAGGATTACAACCACATGAATTTGGAGCCTCATCACTTTTAGTCAGTGCTTTAAAGCTGCTTCTCTCTTATGCACGCCCAGTGGTTTTCTTGACCTATTTTTGGACAGTGAGGAATTATTTATTTTTATATACAGACTTCCCACTTAACCATGAAAATACAGTAAACAGGAGGCTGGGAGGAACAGGAGTAATATACCTGGCTCTGCACTCTCACCCTCACTAAACAACTCAACAGGGAGCAACCCTGGATGCAATGCTGACTAGAGTTACAGAAATCCATCATACTGAAAATGCTGGTGCCACAACATACAGAAAGGGGATGAGGATTACCTCAGGCTGTGTATTGTCAGATATTCTGTATTGAATATATTCTGTGTTCTCTATGGAAGAAATTCACACAAGCCAGAACCTTTTACAGGTGTGAGATATGAGACCTCTACCATCTCCGTCTTCATCCTTCTCTTCTGACAGCTGAAGTGTCGAATGGTATAAAAGGAATACCTGGTCCCCAGGAAGAAATCATACAAAAGCCCAGTGGTGCATTTATATTTATTCCAGGAATAGGATAAGGTATTTGGTTTATAGTTAAACAAGAGGATTTGTACTCCCCATTTCCTGTGTATGTTCATCTGTAGCTCCAGTGTAAGGGCTGATAGAAGCGGATATTACACACAGCTCACATTTGGGCTTCAGACTCAGCCCTCTTTTGTTAAACTCCAGTAAATATCCATTCATGGCTACCTTTGACCCCCACCATTTTATCATCTCCAGGGACAGACACAGCTGAGGGGCACAGTGACACAAAGGAAGCCAGAGAACATCAAAGTTTTCAATAAGTTAAAAAAAACAAACAACAACTACAACAAAAGCCCTCAGATTCCCCTCTTCCATCAAGAATGAGAAAAAGGTCCAGGTGGAGCAAAAAAAAAAAACCATAGAAGAATATATAGATGTAGTGACACATCTTCTCCTGTATTTTTCTCAGTTCAGTGATCAGGTGAGGAATGAAACCAAAATGTATAGAAGAAAGAAGGTTTGAAATAAGGTTTGGATAGATATCTTGATGGGATAAATGTAATTTAAACATGTAAATATGAACAGCCAGTGGGTTTCCCTCAGGAGCTGCATGATATGTAAAGCACAACATCCCATGGATGGTACAGGAGTGAACGCCTCTTCAGGTGCAGTATCTCTGTGA